CCGCCCCTGCCCCGCCGCAGGTTTCTCCTGGAGCTGGAGCGCCGGATGGAGGAGAACATCGTCATCTCAGACGTGTGCGACATCGTGTACCATTACGCGGCCAACCACTTCTCGGTGTACATCACCTACGTCAGCAACCAGACCTACCAGGAGAGGACCTACAAACAGCTGCTGTGAGTGCACCCCCCTCCCCGGCTGCGGGCTGTCGCTTCTCCCACCGGGACACCGAGCCACCGTCCTGGGACCTCTGCTTTCCCGGGACAGTCTCCACGCCTGGCACGTCCCGGGGGCTGCGGGGTCATGAGAGGAATGTTGACTTCAAGACCACCAGCCACGGCGCCCACTGGACCCGTGTCCGGAACGGCTGGGCTGAGCTCTGTGAGCTTAGAAAAGAGAGTTTGAGGCCGGGAGGGCCCCTCGGGGCCCAGGAGGTCGGGAGGATGGTTTGAACTAGAGCCAAAGGCAAGGATGGGGCGGGGGGGTGTGTCTGGTGTTCCAGCAACACCCTTGACTTCGCTACTCATCTGCCCACTTGTCAGCCTCCCTGGGGTTCGGGTAGATGAAGTGATTTTCCATGCCGTTTGCCTCTTCTGCCTACCTCACACGTGTGTGCCACGCTCTGGTGACAGTTGAACCCGGGATGTGTTCTTAGCTGCGCTCAGGAGCGCCAGAGGCCTCCCCGAGAAGTGACATCTGAACGCTCCACTCCCCTGGGCCTGGCCGTCCAGCCTCCTCACTAACTGTGGAGGTTTTAAAACATGAGCATTCGGGGGTTTGGTGTTCTCTGTTCGGGGGTTGAAAACTGGGACTCGAGGGAATCAGGACGCTAGCTCTGAGGACAAGCGAGCACACAGGAGGACAGGATGCCGGTGTTGCAGGGCCGAAGGTACACGGTGCGCCCCTCGAGCACAGGGCATCTGGGCCCGAGGGGACGGTGGCCCCCGCTCCCCACTGCCGAGCCACCAGCTTGTGTCTGCTGGCAGGAGCGGCGCTGGGCCCTGCAGCCGTTGTCCCCAGCTTGCGGCCGCTGCTGTCACTATGTGGGTTCACCTTGCCACGGTTCCCCGCTGGGTAAATCACCAAATGCCGCGTCTGAGTCATAGACTTGGCCGCACGAGGAATTCTTACCTTCCCACACACAACATATTTTGCTAAGTTTTCACGGGCCGGGCATGTGAAGCCACTATTGTTATTTGGCTTGCACATGACCAGTCGATTTTCCATTAAAAGACAAGAACTCAACGTGTGTTCCGTGCCCGTGGGCTGCCTGGTTCCTTCCGACTGACGCCGCCTGCGAGCCAGAGACCCACTCTCATGTCTGTGTCCCCCAGCCAGGAGAAGGCAGCCTTTCGGGAGCTGATTGCGCAGCTGGAGCTGGACCCCAAGTGCCGGGGGCTGCCCCTGTCCTCCTTCCTCATCCTGCCTTTCCAGAGGATCACGCGCCTCAAGCTGTTGGTCCAGGTACCAGCTTCTCCCACCCGACGTGCAGACCGGGCTTGCGTATGCTTCTCCCGCTGCAGACCATTTCCTTTGGTCGTTCTAGCTCTCTGCTAGCTTTCTAGGAAGTCCATTTGTTCCACAAACCCTAACGAAGCTCCTACTGTGTGCCAGGCAGTGGGGGACTCAGCCCCTATTCCCGGTGAGCCATAGTCTGGGAGAGAGACTGACAAGCACACACAAGTGGGAAGTGGTCATGGCTGTGAGGACAGTGAAACGGGGGAGCACATGACCGGGGGTCACTGCCTGGCCACCGCCAGTTGGGGGTGGTCAAGAAAGACTCTTAGATAAGTGACATCTGAGCTGAGACTTGGCTGACAGAGAGGAGCCATTCAGGTGACAGGTAACTGCTTATGCAAAGGCCCTGGGGCAGCCAGGCTCACAGGCAGGAGGGCCAGTGGTGAGCTGAGGGAACTTGACAGGAGTGAGTGCAGAGACGTGGTGAGGCCAGTTGAGGCCCCGAGGGACCAGGTAAGATGCTGGCTTCATTCTTCAGCAGGACGGGGAGTCGCCTGATCTGACTGCCTTCGGTGAGCACACACAACGCTGCCTGTGCAGAGTGATGGGCAGGAGAGTAGAAGGGCAAATGGGAGAAGGGGCCAGGAAGCTATGGGAGAAAGGCAGCTTGGCCTGGGGGAGAGGCGGGGAGGGTGGGAGGTGGGGAGGAGGGGAGATCCTGGAGGGAAATCAGAATTGAGATGCCCACTTGCTACTCCGGGGAAGAGGGAGGAAGAGTGAGCTGGAGCAACGTGAGGGATGACGCAGCCCCTACCGAGGCGGGGAGACAGGCTGGGGAGCATCAGGGTTCCATGTGACCTCGCTGAGCTTGAGATGACTGAGCCAGTGAATCTCCAAGTGCAGAGTTAAAGGGAGAAGTCAGCACAGGGCCTCTCGGCATCCAGGTGGCATTTAGTGAAAGAGACCATCAGGGAAGGAGAGAAAGGGGTCCCAAGACCCAGCCCTGGGACACAGTGCCCAAGGAGGAGTAGGGGGAAGGAGGAAGCCCAGGAGGGCTGGGGCCAGGGAAGCCTGGAGAGGGGGACATTTCCTGAAAGGGGACCCCATGCCTGCCGCAGGCTAAGGGGGGGGGTTGGGTCCACCTGGCAGAGGGAGTGGATGGTGTGGATCTGGCCGTGTTCTGTGGGCGATGAGCTGACAGGTTGACCTGTGAGCCATAGTTAGGGGAGCTCAGAGGTCAGACGGGGCAGAGACCAAAGTCCTGGGGCAGCTAGCTAGTCCCCCGCAGCAAAGTAAGGAGGAGAGGTCCCAGCAGGGGAGGGGGGGACCGGGCCCAGAGGCCTGAGACCAAAGAGAGGGGCGTCAGAGGAAGCAACCCCCACCCCCTGGACAGCCCGAGAGGGCGCTATTCGAGAACTCAGGGAGCACGAACCCAAGTCACAGGGCGCCGGTTAATGAAGGGATGTGTGAGTTTTTTTTTTTTTTAACTTGGAAAAACTGAAACAGAAGACAGAGGGGGGAGCATTTAAGAAATCATAGCAAAAGCGCATATATGGATATATAAAAATCTTAATTTTTATACAATGAAAACCAACGAAAGTAAGATCAAGACCTAGCTCAACGTTGTGTTGAGGAAGCATGGGGGCGAGGGGAGGGGGTGGCGGCCTGGAGCCGTCAGGGAAGTGGTCCGAGGAAGCGTGTCTGAGGCAAAGGTGAGCAAAAGCCTCGTTTTGTTAATTCAAGAAAATCAAACAGTTGGAAAAAAGGCATTTTCATCAGTAAGACCAGAACTAACAAAGTCTCAGGGTCACTGGGACTCGGCTACAAACGGCAGTCCTAGGGGCTGGGCAGGGAAGCCCCCCCACCCGCCCCGTGCCTCCCATGAGTGTTGTGCGCCCCATGGGGCCAGGGCTGGCTTGAGCATGCCCGTCCCCCCTCTGGGGCCACCTCACTGGGGCCGCCCCGCCAGCATGGGGCCACCGGCTTCTCTCTGGTCTCCTTGTTGAGCCCGCGGCGGGGGGGTGCAGGGAAATCTCGGGCTGCAGCTTAGCCTTCATGGTTAACTCTCTGCAGGAGCCTGACTTGTGGTCATCGTTTTAGAGCCGGGCCCCCCTGTGGATCAGGATGCTCGGTCCTGGGCCTGCTGTGGGTTCTCCTGCGCCCCATTGGGCTCTTCATTGTGTCACCGCTGCATGGGGGCGGGGTGGGGAGGAAACGCCACACAGGATCAAATTAACGCAGAATTTTCCTGTGCTCAGAACATTCTGAAGAGAGTGGAAGAAAGGTCTGAGCGTGAGTGCACTGCCTTGGATGCCCACAAAGAACTGGAAATGGTGAGCTGTGCTTCCTCCTTCTTTCTTCCCAATGAACTGTTTTCCTTGTCCGGACACCTGCCTTCTGGTCCTGCCTCCTCCTCTGTCGCTGTGTCTTTGGAAATTGCAAATTCATTTTTAATATCTGCTTTTGCAATCGAGAAAGGTCATTGAGGGGCACCTGGCTGGCTTGGTCGGGGGAGCAGGTGACTCTTGAGCTCAGGGTCGCGGGTTCAAGCCCCACATTGGGCATAAAGATTACTTTGGGGCGTAAAGATTACTTTAAAAAAAAGAAAAGAAAAATCACTGAGTTCCCAAAACAGATCGGGTGTGGCCTGAGCAAATGTCACCGTGAGCCCAGGCCACAGCCGTGGTGACCTCTGCTGCCCCCCACCCACGGCCCCACGCTTGTCCTTGCCTGCTTCCAGTGTCTTCCCTCCTGTGCCACCCGAGGGGGCTGGATCTGGCTCTTCTTGTGCCCTGACATAGCCCAGCCCTGTGCCTTCCTCCTCACGCCTCTCCCCGACCCCAGGCTGCTCCCCTCCTGTCTGCCCTGGGCTTTTCCTGCCCAAGAGGGAAGACGCCATGTCCATGGCTCACCCTTGGAGAGGCGGTTCCTCCTAGGGGTCGCCAGCAGAGTAGGGGATGTGC